GCCCCCCATGGGGGCAGCAGCCTACCCTCTTGACGTAGGGCACGTCCGGGTGGTACTTGGGCGGCTTGAGCAGCAGCAGGATGCGGTCGAAGAGCTGGATGCCGCTGAGCGACGTGACGCCCATGTAGAGGAAGATGCCGAACAGCACGGCCAGTGGGATGCGGGACAGGATGGGCTCCATGAGGATGGACAGACCTGCGGGAGCCGGGTGTCAGCCCAGCACCCGGACTGCGGGGCTGGGAGCAAGCCACAGGCACCGGTGTGGCCTTTCTAGGGTCCTTTTTTTGTGAATCGGAATCTCATCCCGTCACCCAGGCTGGAGGGCGGTGGCACGCTCACAGCCACTGCAGCCTCGACCTAAGGGGCTCAAATGATCCTTCCGCCTCAGGCTTCCGAGCAGTTGGAATTACAGGAGTGTGCCACCATGCCCAGCTAATTTTTTTTTTATTTATTGTAAAGATGAGGTCTCGCCATGTTGCCCAGGCTGGTCTCGAACCCCTGGGCTCAGGCAATCCTCTCACTGGATCACAAGCGTGAGCCACCAGGGTGAGCCACCGTGCCTGGCCAAGGTTCTTTTATTCATTTATTTATTTATTTATTTTTAAAATTTTATTTATTTATTTTTTTTGAGTTGGAGTCTCACTCTGTTGCCCAGACCGGAGTGCAGTGGCATACTCCCGGCCACCGCGGCCTCCACCTGCTGGGCTCCGGCGATCCTTCCCCCTCAGCCTTCCAAGTAGCTGGAACTACAGGCGCATGCTACCATGCCTGGCTAATATTTGATTTATTGTAGAGATGAGGTCTCACCAAGTTGCCCAGGCGGGTCTTGAACCTTTGGGCTCAGGCAATCCACTCACCTCGGCCTCCCAAAGTGCTGGGATTACAGGCTGAGCCACCGAGCCCAGCCTCCTTTTATTTTTTAAGAGACGGAGTCTTCCTGTATTGCCCAGGCTGGCCTCAGACTCCTGAGCACATGAGATCCTCCCACCTCAGCCTCCCCAAGTGCAGGGATGACAGCTCTGAGTCAGTGGGCCCAGTCTTCCAGAGTCCCCTTAATAGGTACACAACACCAGTTTATGAATGAGGAAACAGGTTCAGAGATGTGAACAGCCTGCCCATGGCCACACAGCAGGAGGATTGTCAAATTCTGGCCCTCCTGACATAAGCCCACTCCCTTTACCCAACGGGAGCCACAGAATCCCAGTATGGAATGCCACCTCACCCTCCACCCATCTAAATCTGAACCCTCCTTCAAGTCACATGACTTGACCTCCTTTAAGGACCTCCCCTGACCGCTCCATCAGCTGCCAGGGCACTGCCCACACTGAACCCTGGGAGTCACCCCAGTGACCCTCTGACTTCTGACAGCACCCCTTGTGTTTGCCACAGAGCAGCCGAGCTGGAAGAGGGCTCGGGGGCATCTGATGAACCCTCTAACTGAGCAGACGGGAAACTGAGACCCAGAGACCAGGATGCTGGCTAGCAGCAGGGCAGGGCTGGAGCCCCCCTCACCGAGCACTGAACGGCTGGCCGTGCCCAGAGGCAGCTCGGCCTGAGAAGGCCACAGGGGTGGAGGCCCCTCCCACCGCTGCTGACACCTATCCTGGGGCCCCAGCCCTGCCCACGTGTGAATGAGGGAGCCTGGTGGAGGATGAGATGTGGCACCTGGCTGCAGGGTGGGCGGGGCCAGAGGGGCCGCTGAACCCCGGGGGTGGGGGTGGGCTGGAGGCGGGGCGGCTGTCACTCACCCACGAGCACAGAGACCAAGAGCCCACTGATCCGCTGCTCCTTGACCTCCTGGATCTGGGCTGCTGCCCCTGGAGTGCTGGCCTTGCCCATGACGGTGAGGGCGTTGGCATGTGTGACGGAGCGCACTGTGGTGGCGCTGAGCCAGGGCATCCCGAAGAGGGCAGCCACCCCGCCCATGCCCACCACCAGCAGCAGGTCCAGGTGGAAGCCGGAGCCCTTGACCATCTTGCGCTCGGGCTTGCTGACGATCAGCCTGAGGGGAGGTCAGGGCTGAGCGAGGGTCTGCCCCTCCCCCACCCTCTCCTTCCTTCTCTGTCCTTGGGTCCCTGTGCTTCCGTTTTGGCGTCTGTGCCCAACCTCTTTGAGACCCTCGCTCCCCGACTACCCACCCATCCTGAGAATCCAGACTCTGAGAGCAGAGGTGACAGGCTGTGAAGCCTCAGCCCCTGGAGTTTTGCTTGGCAGCTGTTCTAGGATCCAACACCTGAATTTTTTTTTTTTTGAGTCAGAGTCTCACTCTTGTCACCCAGGCTGGAGTGCAGTGGCATGCTTATGGCCACCACAGCCTTAACCTGCTGGGCTCAGGCGGTCCCTCTGCCTCAGGCTTCCAAGTAGCTAGAACTACAGACATGTGCCACCATGCCTAGCTAATTTTTTTTTTTTTTTTGAGTTGGAGTCTCACTTCTTTGCCCAGGCTGGAGTTCAGTGGCACACTCACGGCCACCCCAGCGTCAACTCGCTGGGCTCCAGTGATCCTTCCGCCTCAGCCTTCCAAGTAGCTGGAATTACAGGCACGCGCTACCATGCTCAGCTAATTTTTTGATTTACCGTAGAGATGAGGTCTTGGCAAGTGGCCCAGGTGGGTCTCGAACCTGCAGGCTCAGGCAATCCACTCACCTCGGCCTCCCAAAGTGCTGGGATTACAGGCTGAACCACCAAGCCCGGCCTAATTTCTTATTTTATTGTAGAGACGAGGTCTTGCCAAGTTGTCTGGGCGGGTCTCGAACCTGTGGGCTCAGGCAATCCACTCGCCTCTGCCTCCCAAAGTGCTGGGATTACAGGCTGAGACACCGAGCCCAGCTAATTTTTTGAGTTATTGTAGAGACGAGGTCTCACCAAATTGCCCAGGCTGGTCTCAAACCCTGGGCTCGGGCAATCCTCTCCCCTCTGCCTCCCAAAGTGCTGGAATTACAGGCATGAGCAACCACTCCCAGCTTGGCACCTGATTTTATAGTTCTTACCTTGCACTCTGTGTCTTAAAAAGAGCTCTCCATATTATATGGTTTTAGGTCCCACAGACCTGGACCTGGCCGGACACGGTGGTTCACATCTGTAATCCCAGCGTTTTTTTTGTTTTTTGTTTTTTGAGTTGGAGTCTCACTCTGTCTATCACCCAGACTAGAGTACAGTGGCACACTCCCGGCCACCACAGCCTCGACCTGCTGGGCTCCAACGATCCTTCCGCCTCAGCCTTCCAAGTAGCTGGAACTACAGGTGCGCTCTACCACGCCCGGCTATTTATTGTACCACACCTGATTTATTGTAGAGATGAGGTCTCACCAAGTTGCCCGGGCGGGTCTCGAACCCGCGGGCCCTGGCAATCCACTCACCTTGCCCTCCCAAAGCACGGGATTACAGGCTGAGCCACCGAGCCCAGCAATCCCAGCGTTTTGGGAGGCTGAGGCGAGAGAATCACTTGAAGCCAGGGGTTCGAGAGCAGCCTGGGCAACAAAGTGAGACCCAGCCTCTACCAAAAACAAAAACAAATAAGCAAAAAACCCTGGACCTGCCCCTGGCCGCTCAGCACTGCTCTGGTGAGAGTGACACACCCGCAGGGACCATCTTGCAGTCAGGGGTCTCTCGCCTGCCTGGAGCCTGCCCCTGTCTCCGCCTCTGACCCTCCCAGGCCCGGTCTCTTACGTGGTGATCTGAGACTCCAGGAATATGAGGATGAAGACCAGCAGCGCAGGCAAGGCAGAGCCAAACATCATCCAGATGGGGAAGGGAGAGAACAAGCCCAGCGGGTGGATGACCCAGCCCCGTGCGGAGGAGTTGGACACCTTGAGGCCGTCGGGCACCGACAGTTTCTGTTGGGGGGTGCAGCGGGTGAGAACACCAAGGCAGGGTCCTAGGGGTCAGGGAGCTGAGCCGGGGGCACTTGGGAACTTTAGTCATTTTAGGGATGGGGTCTCACTCTGTCACCCAGACAGGAGTGCAGTGGCATGATCATAGCTCGCCACAGCCTTGAACTTCTGGGCTCAAGCAATCCTCCCACCTCAGTTGCTCCAGTAGCTGGGACTACAGGTATGCACCACCACACTCGGATAATTTTTTTTTTTTTGGTGGAGAACATGGGGTCTTGCTATATTGCCCAGGCTGGTCTCGAACTCCTCACCTCAAGTGGTCCTCCCACCTCAGCCTCCTAAAGTACTGGGGATTACAGACGTGAGGTACCGTATCAGCCGGGAACTTACTTTATTGAGCACCTGCTGTGTACCCAGTCACTGCACTAATTCTTTTACATCCATCTGCTTGTCTCCACTTTACAGATGAGGAAACAGGATCAGAGAGGTTACGTAGCCTGCCCCACTTCACACAGTTACTTGGTGGCAGAGCTGAGAGTCATAACCAGATATGCCTGGCTTGAAAGAAGACTTTTTCCTACGACCCTGGATCAAGGAGTGAAGAGGAGAGCCTGACCTGGCCCCTTGCTTTGGCTAGTGGTCCTGTGGGGCTGTGGAAAGAATGTGGCGATCCCCTGGAGGTGGGCAGGGGTGGAGGTGGTCCCAGCTGGGGCCATCAGACGGGGGAAGCTGCCCAGGAGGGCTTGAGAGCTGGGAGGAGGCGTCACCTGGGTGTAGGTGTCCTTGATGAAGGAATCCACCAGGACCATGATCAGGATGGAGATGGGGACCCCAAAGTCCCCGATGACCCGACGCAGCTGGGGACAGGCGAAAAGACCAGTGTCAGCGCCCAGCTGCTCCCACCGCCTGCCCTCCTTCCTGCCCCGTGTCCACCCAGTGGGCCCTGTTCTTCCCAGGGGACCCACAGCCCTCACTGCCCAGTGCTGCACCCCAGCTACACAGGCCTCCTTTCCTCCTCCCCTGGCCCAGACCTACCCCGGGTGCCACAACTTCTCCAGCCCCTCCCAAGGACTGTCGTTGGGTTCCCAACTCGGACATGCCGAGACGGGGAGAGGGCTGGCCTGCAGAGTGAAGCCTTGGGTGTAGGAGAGGCCGGGGAGGCCTGGGATTTGGAGAGAAGGGGAGCTGAGGGCACCATGGGGCCGGGGGAGCCCTTGACAGTGTCGGTAAGCACAGGTGGGGGGAGTGGGGTGCTGACCTTGCCGGGGAAGTAGGAGCTGTTTTTGAATTTGCGCAGCATCATGGCAAAGAAGAAGGTGCCGGCCATGAGCACAAGGGAGAGCAAGGCTGTGTTGGGCAGGGGGCCCCGAGGTTTGGGCACCAGCGACACGTTGTAGTCATAATCCCTCTGCAGTGGGTGATCCTGGAAGATCTGCAGCAGAAAACCAAGGCATCCTGTTCCCTCCCAGCCTTTGCTTGGGTTGGAAAGGATTGGCTAAATCTACTCAACACCGCTATCCATTTATTCATCATCCATTATCTATCTATCCATCCAACTATCCATCATCCATCCATCCATTCGAACATCCACTGCCAATCCGTCTATCACCCACCATCCATCCTTCCATCCAACCACACATTTGTTGTCCATGCATTCATCATCCATCCGTCTATCCATTCATTGCCAATCTATCCATCCGTCATCCATCATCCATCCAACCATCCATGCATTCACCATCCATCCATCCATCATTCATCCATCCATCCATCCATCCATCCATCAATCATCTGTCATCCATCTTCTATCCAGCCATCTTCTCCCTCAACATGGTAACTGAGGGAAATGGGATTCTAGAGCTTGGTTTTCAGGGATGAAGACCGGCCAGGCTTGAGTGGGGTGGGCCATGGAGGCCGTGAGTATATGCGTGTGCACCCAGAGCCTGGGAGACCTGAGAAGAGTGGAGGACAGGAAATAAGTTCCAGGGAGGTTTCTGAAAAGGGCTTAAGAGACCTGGACAAGCCGGGCTCGGTGGCTCGGCCTGTAATCCCACGCCTTGGGAGGCCGAGGTGAGTGGATTGCCTGAGTCCACGGGTTCGAGACCCGCCTGGGCAACTTGGTGAGACCTCATCTTTACAATAAATTTTTAAAAAATTAGCCGGGTGTGCTAGCGCGCGCCTGTAGTTCCAGCTACTTGGAAGGCTGAGGCGGAAGGATCGCCGGAGCCCAGCAGGTCGAGGCTGCGGTGGCTGGGAGCAGCCACTGCACTCCAGTCTATGCGACAGAGTAAGACTCACACTCAAAAAAAAAAAAAAGACCTGGACAAGGAGAGACCCACCAACCAAGAGAATCAAGAGACAGCACGTAGGGCCCACCTTTCCTCCAAATGAGATGCAGACGGAGGCCAGCACAGCTTAACATGATAGGAGCAAGCTGAGGGGTGGGCGCTCTGGCCACAAGGCCCAGGGTCCTTTTTCTTTTTTTGTATCAGAGTCTCACTCTGTCACCTGGGCTGGGGTGCAGAGGCATGCTCATGGCCACCGCAGCTCCAACCTGCTAGGTTCAGGTGATTCTTCTGCCTCAGCCTTCCAAGTCGCTGGAACTACAGGTGTGTGCCACCTCTCCCAGGTAATTTTATGATTTATTGTAGAGATAGGGTCTCGCCATGTTGCTCAGACTGGTCTTGGACCCCTGAGCTCAGGCAATCCTCTTGCCTCGGCTTCCCAAAGTACTGGAATTCTAGGCCTGAGCCACTGTGCTCGGTTAGGCCCAGGGCTCTTGAGGACAAGTTCAGGAAGGGAGTGGGGGACTTCAGGGCCTCCAGAGCCCCCTGACCCTCACTGTGCTCAGTTTCACTCACATACATGGGTCATATCATGTGCGGTCACATCCCTGGACACATGCACACAGAGGTGCCCTCGTGTGCGTTCATGGTGTAGTCATAGCAAGAATGCTGGGTCCTAGGCAGCAGGCACCAAAACATGTGCAGTCATGGCCAACACAGCTGTGTAGTCCTGTGTGCAGGCGTGTGACCCACACAGACACATACGTTGCCACAGTCATATGCACTGTTACATGGTTATGTACACAGGTGGAAACAAGTCCACACAGATGCTATACAGACATGTGTGCAAGGACACACAGAGTCACATGGCCTTTTTTTGGGGGGTAGTTGGAGTCTCACTCTTTCACCCAGGCTGGAGTGGCACGCTCACGGTCACCCAGCATCGAACTGCTGGGCTCAGGCAATCCTTCCGCTTCAGCCTTCCAAGTAGCCAGAACTACAGGCATGCGCCACCATGCCTGGCTATTACTATTATTATTATTATTTTAGAGACAGGGTCTCTCTCTGTCAACCAGGCTACAGTGCATAGCTCACTACAGCCTTCAGCTCCTGGGCACAGGCGATCCTTCCACCTCAGCCTTCTGAGTAGCTGAGACTACAGGCTTGAGCCACCATGGCCAGTTCGTTGTTTAATTTTTTGTATGTTGCTATATTACCCTGGCTGGTCTTGAATTACTGGGCTCAAGCGATCCTCCCACCGTGGCCTCCCAAAGTACTGAGACTTCAGGCATGAGCCAGCGCTCCCAGGCCCCCCCAGCTTCCCACGTGTGTCCGCACCCCCGTGGGTCCCACCTTGACCAGCTTGGAGAAGGTCTCGTAGATGAAGATGAGGGAGATGAGGAAGGAGAAGATCTCCTGGGTGTAACGGGAGATGAAGCGAACCAGGAAGCTGCCCTCGAAGGCCACCACCAGCACCACCAGCAGGATGAGCCAGAAGCCGATCCAGGCGCGGCCCACAATGTACTCCAGTTTGTTGCTCTCGCAGAACTGGGAGGGGAGTGGGGAGGGGCAAAGGGAGGCGTCAGACCCACAGGGCCTCTGGCACCAGATGGGTGGGGCTGGGCCCAGTTGCAGCGTCAGGGCCGGAGTGGGGCAGGGGCCCAGCTACCGAGTAGAAGGCTTCCTCAAACACCAGTAGGGGTCCGGAGAAGCCCACCACCAGCAGGGGCTGTGCCCCCAGCAGGGCGAAGAGGACCCCCTGCACGGCAGTGGAGATGAGGAGCTCCGACACGCCCATCTGGTTCCGGGTCTTTTCTCCTGTGGGCAGAAGTCACAGTGAGGTCAAGGTCAGGAGGCGATAGGGCAGGTCATGGGCGGGCTGACAGGTCTGGAACATCAGATGGGGTCAGAAGTTGGGGTGGAAGCAGAGGCCAGAGGGCGGGAGGTAAGGGTCCGAGGGACCGGCATCGGCACTGACCCAGGAGGCCGCCAAAGGTGATGGCGGGTGACAGGGCGGCAAAGTAGATGAAGATGACAGCAGCCAGGACCTGGGGGCTGAGGGCGTCTGTGATGTCACTCAGATAGTGCGGGTAGCGGCGCCGGATGTCACGCGCCAGGCCCCCAAAGAGCCGGCCTGTCCGCTGCAGAGGGTCGTCTGGGCCCCCAGGGGCTCCTGGGCCGCCATTCAAGTCTGTGGTGGAGGATGGGCACCGTCGGAGGGGCGGCAGGGGGAGGTGCGGGGGAGGGGCACGGAGGGAGCGCCGGCAGAAGGGTGTTGGCTGAAGACGGAGAGATGGAAACTGTGCGTGGGGGGAGGGGCTGGCTCTGAGGGTCACTGGGGCTCAGAAAGCTGGGTAGGGCGGGTACCTAGGCCCTTGTAGAAGCCGGGGTCTGGCTTGGCGGGGCTGGGCAGGTAGCGCTTCCGAAGCAGTTCTCTCTGCACGGGCACGAGGTTAAGCAGGGCCTGCTCCGAGGGGACGTCCGTCGGGGGCAGCACCAGGCTGCAGTCCAGGAAGCCCTCCAGGGAGCGCACCAGCTCCCCCCGGCTCTGGGCCAGGTAGGCATCCGTGCGGAACACCTGGGGGCAGGAAAGAAGGTCAGGGCTGCCCAGCCCATTGAATGAAAGGACCCCAGGAGTCCACAGCTGGGAACCAGAACCCTCTCACCCGGCTGCACACCCGCCCCCGCTGCCCGCCTGGTGGCCAGGCAGGAACTGCTCTTCCCACCCGACTCCCCACTAAGAAGGGGCTTTGGGAGACAGACAGGGGTCCTGCGTGGGGCAAGGAGAGGAACTAAGGTCACCCAGGTGGGTCAGGTAGACCAGACAGCACTCGAGCCGACTGGGCCAGACCACGCCAGGTAGGACCATGTCTGATTGGGTCAGACCAGCCAGGCCAGAGTAAAGCAGATGAAACCAGCCGGGCCAGATCAGACAGAACTGGGCAAGACGTCCCGCCAGGCAGGATGTAAGCAGCCAGATTAGACCCAACGGGTCAGACCAGTGAACCCCAAGGAACCGAGCCAGCCCAGGCCGCAGAGGGGCCGCAGCCCCCCTGACAGCTCCCTGGCCCTGCAGTCCCTCCTTACCCTCTCTGACATGAGGGTGGCGGCAGCCCGGCCAAGCTGGGTATAGTCGGTGTGGGGAGCCTCGGGTCCCAGCAGGACAAAGAGGAAGCGCACGGGGATGGGCAGCTCCATGGCCTCCAGCTCTGTGGCCTCCTGCAGCCGAACGAAGCCCAGCACCGGATGCTCCAGGAAGGCAGCGCGGCCTGTCGAGGTGATGAGGTGGTCAGGCCGGGCTGAGGGAGCACGGGAGGTGGGGGGGACTCAAGCGCGGGGCTGTGGGAGTCTAGGAAAGGCTAGGGGATGGTGGCTGGGGTGTGAGACAGAGGTGGGGCGTGTGGAGGGCGAGGGAGAGACCCCAGCTCTCACCCACGAGCACCAGGGTGGCTTCTGAATCCGGGGGAATCTTTTCCAGAATTCCAGATGGTGTGCGCCCTTCTGCGGCCCCCTCTCCCTGTGGGGAAGGAAGGTGTTGAGGGGAGTCCCCGGGCCACACCGGGTGTCCAGCCCCTTCCTCCCTTCCCCAGCCTCACTGCTACTGTGTTCGGGTTAGGCCTTGAGCTCTCCCTGCACACCCCCCTGTGCAGCCTCACCTGCTCACAGAAGAGCCGAGTCTCCAGGGAGGGGTGCTGGGGGAGCAGAGGTTGTGAAGGGTCCCCAGAGCGTGTCAGGACTGTGGGCTTCACACCCCCCAGGGCCTCAAGGTCTCCAGCATGACTGCAGGACACACGGGGACATGGGCTGAGTAAGCTGTTCAGGCTAAGCACGTGGTGGGAGAGATTGGGGTAGACACCAAGTGGACCTCCCAGACCAGATGAGGGAGGAAGGAGAATCAGAGTGAGTGGCCTCTGCCTGGAGGGATTAGGCAGGATCCTTAGAGTGAATAGAGGAAAGGGCCCCCAGTGTCCATCCTCCTAGGGACCAGCGGCCTCTGACTCTGAGCCTGAGACACGGCCACCACGTCAGAGGGGTCAGAAGTGGGAACCCATCTGGCCCGGGAGGGGCTGCCTGGGCCCCTGGGAGAGCTGGGGGCAGGGAGGCTGGGAAAGTGGGCCCCAGCGGGCAGGGGAACCTGTGTTTGAGCAGCAGGGCCCGGAGCAGCTCCTCTCGGTCCTGAGGCCGAATCTGCTCCTCGAAGATGAATCTGTCCAGCAGTTGGTTGGCCACTCCAGCCAGGGAGGTCTCCGGCAGGTCCAGGAGGACAGTGCCTGTAGGCAGTGGAGGGGTGAACTGGGTGACTGGAGCCCAGTCCCCCAACAGACCTCTCCCATGCAGGGGTCCCTGGGGACTCACCCTTGGCGAAGACTCTCTGCAGCTCCAGGAGGCTCCAGAAGGTGAGGTAAGACAGGTGCGGGCGGCCCCAGGCCCCATTCTCCCCCAGGTTCTCCTCCAGCCGCACCCAGCGCGCCGCCTCCATCCACCGCAGCTCCTGGTTCGTCGTGTCCATCACCAGCTCCTGCAGCTCCACATAGACCTGCAGACCCACAGCTTGATTGAGTGCATAGGCCATGGGCAGGGCTGCGGGGGGTGGACTCCACCCCTAGCAGCTCAAGAGAGACTCGTAGGCCGGGCCCAGTGGCTCACGCCCGTCATCCCAACACTTTGAGAGTGGAGGTGAGAGGATTGCCTGACCCCAGGGGTTCGAGACCAGTCTGGGCAACTTGGCGAGACCTCATCTCTACAAGAAATCAAAAATTAGCCGGGTGTGGTGACGCATGTCTGTGGTTCCAGCTACTTGGAATGCTGAGGTGGAAGGATCGCCTGAGTCCAGCAGGTCGAGTCTGTGGTGGCTGTGAGTGTGCCACTGCACTCCAGCCTGGGCAACAGTGAGACCCTGACTCAAAAAAAAAAAAAAAAA